CTGCCGAGGAAACGAGTTTGGATCTGTTCGGGAAGTAGCCGACAAAGAGACGGTGAGGAATTAGTGTTCGTCTCTGTTCCGCTGACGGACAACGATTCGTAGCGGTGGTTTTTGCAAGCGATGGATCTATCCCAGCCCCCATTCATGTTTATGTCATTGCCACCAGAAAGGATCCAGCCGGCGTGCGGAAGCGGAAAGCCGGAGCTTTGCCCTCGTCGATTTATCCGCCAATGCGGGTCCGTGTGAGGACTCTGATGAAGAAGACCTTTGTCATCGAGCAGATTGAATCATCCATCCAACACCGTTGGTGATTTGAAGGAACGAATACATGATTCTGAAGGCATTCCGCCTAACCAGCAGCGTCTCCTCTTCGGGAGGACGGTGAAAATGCTTAGGAACTACCACATCCACCATGATTGCATTATCCATCTCATCCACCCCCAATGCGGTTGCTAATTGCCTTTTTTTAAGCGGAGCTATTCAACCATTCCCCAGATGGAGGGGTATTTGGGTTCAGGTCTTTTCCCTCCTTGCTTTATCTGCAAATCTGCAATGGTTTTTTGCTCAAACTTTGGATATTGGAATTCAGCTGGCTGCCTTCACTCAAAGGGCTATCTATCTATAGACTAGCTATAGTTATAATTCCATGACCTATAATTGGTCTTCACTCTTCAGTATGTTGCATGACAATTTGGTTTTTGTCACCTTAACAATTTGTGTACAAATAGTGGGTACACCAAGAATGACTCGCTGGTTACTAGCCTACGAACTAATTAGACCAGTGACCCATGACAGAACGATACTAAAAAAAACTGAGATTAAATTCCATTACGATACAATGTTTGGTCAAATTTTAGTCAGGATATTGCATTATTGTGGAAGGTTTGATAAGTTGAGATTTGAGAGCTCAGATTGTAAAATGGCTAGCTGGCAGAGACGGGCTGAAAGCTCCATATTGTGAAACATATAGTTGCATGCATTACTGCATACGTTTTTTAGTTTTCCAAATAGCCAACCATATTCATGAATTATTAAAAACAATATGAATTGATATGACAGAAGTGACTAAATTTTTTATTTTATAAAATTTATATAAACTTTTTTCTATGGAAAATTTATTTCTTTGGCACATCCAAAAATTAACTTCTAAGAAGATTACGAGTACATCTTACTTCACATCACTCCACTCAATCTTCACATGAACTAAGCAATCATTTGCCTCAAATATGGTTAAACCTTCTGCAATCTCAATTTCTCTCCTAAACACCAACTTTTGTTTAGCAACTTCTAGGTCCACATCTACTATGAGAGAGGAATATGATGGTACAACCATCATAGATCTTGAAAGTGGTAGTGTACTTTGACCATTTAGTTCAACCAACTTCTCTGGATGCTTTTTGAAAAGAATAACCCTGAAAAAATCTCTACTATAGCAAGATGAATAGTCAAAGTACTTGAGCTCAGCAGCTAGGCAGCCATAAATCTTAGGATGAACACTAGAAGATCCAATCTTAAATTTACAAAGTACCTCAATGTTAGCATCCACTGCACAGCTTGAAAAGAGAGCATACTGCACAGCTGCAAATCCTTGTTGGCCTTGAATAACTTAACACATTTGCTTGTCTCCATAAAAACATGAGTCAAGAACGGAATCATCCCAATCGACGTAACCTTTTACAGAACCATCATTTTCACCAGGCTAAAATCTTCATATAGCTGACAACCATCAAGTATAGGGATCACTTTTTTAACTTCTGATAACACCACTGCCTCCCTCTTTCACATTCTTTTTGAAGATATAATAAGAACCAGCATTTGTAACAATTTCAATAGAACCATATATATATATATATATATGCAACTCTTTGGACTTCTCTCCACCAATAAAAACTGAGAAGATTTCAACTGCAGGAGACGGAATTGGTTTATTCTTGTGGATACCAAGCACCCTAGAATAAAGAAAATATTACTCCGTACTACGTAACATATTAAGATTATTGGAAAAATTAAAAACACAGTTGATAATATGAGAATATTTTGGGGACATTGTTGCACCATTTCCCTTGTCATAGTAAACAATAAAAATAGCAGTACTATAAAATCTCATATTTCATACAAAAAGGGGATGTGTGTAACTGGAAACACATACAATTGGTTGCATTTACAAGACACATGGCACATTTAGTATTTGAATACAAGCATATAGACACAGTTGCATACCATGGATGGTTGGGAACCGAATCATCAAAATCCTGCTCAAAGGACTACAGGGAATAATAGGGAATTGATATTAGCTTTCAGGAGAATAAGACACAAAAGTGAAAGACATAAAGAGGAAAAGGAAGTACCTCATCCTCTTGCTCAATCTCCATTTCTGCTGTGCGTACTTCCTGTAAATAAATGAGTGCCCCCAAAAAGGAAAATATTATTGACTCCAAATAGAAATGCCAGAAATACAAATCAACCACAAATCAAGGGTGATAAATAAACTAGGAAAATATGAAAATAAATGATGAATAGATTAAGAAGATATAACCTCATCAACTTCCTCCACATCAGAACCTGAACCCTGTAAAAAGAGACATAAAATTGAGGTTAAAAATTGGAGATGTAACACTACAATAACAATGAAAAGATAAACAAATGGGCAGAAACAAAAAAGAACCAACAAATCTACCTCAAACTCTCGTCGAATATCATTATTCTCTACTCTTGGCCCCCATGGACACTCGCACTGCTAGAAGAATATCACCTATTGCAAACAAGTCACTAGACATCCCACCATTTTCAGGCAACCACTTCACAGTGTCCTTAACAATTTTTTGCCCCGACCCAAATTCTAATAAATCCATATCGATGACAAGTGATGAGTATGCAGGAAAGGACACCCAACATCTGGATAATAAAAGATGTGATTTTTCCTGTGCTGCATCAATCTTAACTTGTTCATGATCAGTGGGTTTTTTATCAAAGAGGGTACATTCTTCACACGCGTATTACCAAGATTATTATCGTAACGAGCAACAATTTTTCCATTCACATTTAAAATGCGGGTGTCTCTTTCATCATTGATACCTTCCTTGGAATAAAAAAACTTCCACCCGCCCATACGCGCCAAATGGAATGACAGCATAATGCACAGCAAGCAACCCCAACTGGCAACAGACAAACTTCTTTTTGACTTGCTCATGGTCATCTTCGTCATCCGAAGAGAAATAATCTTGAATAAACACATCATTATTTTCATTAAATAGCTCCACAGTTACCTTAGTTTTATAGAAAGGCATACATGTATCAGATGGACTAATCAATGTCAAGTTGCCAGATGAACTTAGGATTTCTGGATCACATTGATGACGCTTATAAAGATCATAAGTTACCATGTTTCCATAAGTTAAATCAGAAAATTCAGCATAAATTCGCCCATACAATGCAAGTGGCTGATTTTCAGCAACTATGTTAGGTTGGACCGTCACAGAAAAAACTTGAACTAAAGGCCCTGCTCCAACATGTATTCTTCCATTTTTCTTCTCAAATTCGCTTTTTCCATCAACATGGCAAATTCTTCTTTCAAAAGCCTCCTCATCGAGCACACGTTCCCATGAAGTGTTAATAAATTTCTTCAACTCTACCCTGGATACATTTTTGTACATTATATATATATATATATATATATATATATATATATATATATATATAATGTACAAAAATGTATCCAATGAGAACGGTGCTTAACGTGAGAACGTGAGAACACTCACAATTAACCCAACGTGATACACAATAGAACCCGGCTGGTGCACATTTTGACTTTGCTCCGTATAAGCCAATATAAATAATGACGGTGGCATTTTGGTAAATACTATGCCGAACACAAAAATGTGCATTGGACGAGTCTCATTGTGCATTATATTGGGATAAATGTGGTGTTCTCACGTTCTCACGTTAAACGTTGTTCTCATTTGATCCTAAATCTTTATATATATATATATATCCAAATCCATAATAATGTATGGCAAAACTCCTGAAAGTAATACTTTAAAAGTGTCATTATCGCAATAGTTACCAAATAAATGGAGTCAAACTGAGACCCACAACTCCAACAAACAAACTAAGTAACTAATGTAGCTATATACCAAGAACTTAAGCCAAAAAAAGTTCCAATACATTTAATTACTTTTAAAGTGTAGATTTACACAAATTAAAATGCTAAATATACAACTTCTGGACCAAAATATTTTGGTATTAAACAAAAAAAGATAACAAAGCATGCCTCAACTTTACACCACCTCGAAACAAAAAATATAGTTATCCGACAATATTCAACAGATAATATCTTTACAATATACAAACATGTAAATTACTTTAATCTTCTAAACCACTGATATTACAATATGTTTTCTCCATTCCAGATCAATCTTTAACAAGGTTGCTATAAGCATGAAACTAAAAAGGAATAATCCTGCACAAGAAACTTGCTAACTCATCACAGCTTACCAACTCTTGCATGTAACTAACAAAAAAGACTTTTTTATTGTTTATATTTTCATTCATTTTCATTCGCAAAGGCTCCCACCTATGGTGGGATGAATACGTTTTCTTGTTCTCTTTTTGATTTAGTTAAGAGATATCTTCTGTAATTTAATTATGTAAACTTGATGAAAATAGAAACAGTTTTCATCATTTGCAATAGAGCCAAAGATTCATTATTTTTTGGCTTGAGATTATGATGGAATAAAGCAAAATGGTTCACTAAATTGTCTGCGCTTCTTTAATATGTAGCAACATAAAACAAAAACAAATTTTTATCATAATGGAGTCCGATGTACGAGCATGTAATTACATACAATGGCGGAAGTAGCTAGGGGCTTGGGGTGCCCCAGCCCCTGCAGATTTTTTTATTATTATTATAACATATATAATATTAAGTTTAATTAACCCAGCCCCTGCAGCCCAGATAACTTAGCCCACCCATAAGCCCTCATCGTGGTGTGGCCCAAATGCCCAATTCCCAAATTAAGTGGAAGTTTAATTGCTAAAGCTAAAGGCCTACTCGTCCGTTCCACTTCTGCGTACGCCCAAAAAACCAAACGCTTACGCAAAAAAAACCAGCCTGCAGCCGTCCGACTCCCAGGCTCCCAGCGCCTTTGTTGTCTTCTACGCCGAGCAAGTGAAACAAGAACAACGCAAAGCCAGGCAACCAGCAACTCCAAGTCTCCAACTCTACGCAGCCAAACTCTACGCCGAGTCGCCGAACAACGAAAAGTCGTAAGCTACTCAAACTCTTAGTCGACGATTCTTCAATTGTTAATTTATTAATTGTTAATTTTTGATAGTATATGTAATGGTTGGTAATGATGAATTGATGATTGGTGAATGGCTGAAAATTATTTGTTAAAGGTTACTTTTAATTTAGTAATTGTTAATTTATTTTTTTGTAGAATTTCTAAATTAATAATGTATTAATTGTTAATTGTTGATAGTATTTGTAATGGTTGGTAATGATGATTGGTGAAGGGTTGAAAATTATTTGTTAAAGGTTAATTTTAATTTAGTAATTGTTAATTTTATTTTTTTGTAGTATTTCTAAATTAATAATTTATTAATTGTTAATTGTTATAATCGCTTTAATTGTAGTATTTCTAGGTTGTTTGAGAAAGAATCTCTATGTTACGATTTTATCCAAAGGTTCCCAAAGGTAGTAAAGGGCCTAGTATTGATGGTTCTTCATCAAATAATGTAATTTCTTCGTTAGATAATATCACTCATAACGTTGAAAGTAATGTCAAAAAGGCTCAAATAAAAGTTGAAATATCGTAGGATGACATTCTTGGTGATCCTGGATTGGGTAAAGCGATTGAAATTTTAGAGGCCTGCCTTGTCGGAGACCGAAAGTTTAGAGGCATATCAAGCTGCCTGCCTTGCCGAATTGTCAGAGTTCTTCCCTTTCCTATTTGTGCCCCTGCAAGCTCCCTGAGCTGGTTCCGCCACTGATTACATAATATTGTTTAACATTGTATGGATTTTGTTTTTATAATTCAGTTTGTAATAACATTTTTTATGTTTAAGATTGTATGGAATTTGTTTTTATTCTAATTGCTTTAAAGTAAAATTAAAATAATTTTTTATTTTTTTATTTAAAAGTGTTTTTTTTTAAAAACCAAAAGCATTAGGCACGACTAAATCTGTGACTACTTTTTAATCCGGACTAAATTCATTTTTTTTTTCAAAACATAGTCACGGATACATGTCCCGTGCAACTGGCACGTACAAAAACTGCCAGGCCCTAATCCAAAGCAAAGAACCGCAGCACCCAATCGACAGAGTCACGGAGACAACATCCAACTGTTCCGACGCATCATGCACCTTGGCACCTGACGCACAGAGACTTCATCGCCGGACGTCGCCGTTGCTCGCCCGATCCAGCGCTCCTCTGCTCTCATCGCTGTCTTCTTCTCTCGAGCCTTGAGGACTCCAGTCTGCTTCTGCTCGTCTGCCTGGCTGCTCCTCTGCTATGCCAAGGTTTTACAATTTTTAGTTTAGTTTAAGTATTCTATTTGTTAATTTAGTTTGTGTTAGTCGCTTAGGGTGTCACAATTGATTTGTGTGCTTTGAATTGTGAAATAGAAAGTTAGGAATGTCAAATGTGATTTGTTAATTTCTTAAAATATTAATATGAATTATATGAATTCAAATAAAATATTGAATATTTTTTTAATTTTTGCTAATTTTAGTAGGTATGGCTACTCAATCTGCTTCCAAAAAGGCAAAAATCACATTGTGTTCGTTTTTATAAGCCTAGTACAAGCACACAAAATAAGAAGAGTTAAATGTCTCAATTGAAACTCCTAATATCTCATCCGCTCAAGAGGAAGTAGTTTCTGATGCACTTGTAATTGAGTGAGATCCGGGAAAACGCAAAACGATAAGTTATTGGCCGTTAGAGAAAAGAGATGAAATTAGATGATCTTTTTGATGTTTGGACCTTATCAACCGAAATTGAACTTTTAGAAAGGCCAAGTATACAAAGATAAGATACATCGAGCCACTTGGTTCAATGAATTTAATTGATTGCAATACTCTCCAACAACACATAAGGCCGTTAACGAGAGAAAGGCCTGTCTTTGGACAACCCTCGAAGGCAGCAAACCGCCCACGTCGCCACGATCCGAGCACTTCACCGGATCATTCAATCGGTAGGAGCGACGGGCGGTGTGTACAAAGGGCAGGGACGTAGCCAACACGAGCTGATGAGTCGAGCTTACTAGGAATTCCTCGTTGAAGACCAACAATTGCAATGATCTAGCCCCATCACGATGAAATTTCAAAGATTACCCGGGCCTATCGGCCAAGGCTATATGCTCGTTGAATACTTCAGTGATGTTGTGCATTCCTCTTGTGTTTCAGCTTTAGTGACTATTGATTTTGATAATTGGAAACAAGTTTCTCAGGGTAAAGAATGCGTGTTTCTTATGCATCTTCATACATCATCTTTATCACCTCATAATAGGAGTGTGATTTCTGCTGAGTCCTTAATGAAACCAAGTCTACATATTGACAAAGTCATTGCTAGGATCGGTAAAGAAGAAGTGGTAAAAAATCATTTGCGTGTAAGGACAACCAATAAAAGTATTTTGTGGTTAACTTTAGAAGGTTGTGCATTTAGGGGTCATGATGAGTCCGGAACATCTCTCAATCGTGGAAATGTTATTGAATTGATTAAATATACCGAGAATGGAATATTGAAGTGAATGATATTGTCTTGAGTAATGCTCCACAAAATGCCAAGTATACCTCCCCGGATATTCAAAAGGAACTTTTAGCTCTTCTGGCTAATCGACGTTGAGTCTGTCATATATGAGTTTGCTAAGGTCAAAGAACGTCGTGTTCAGTTAACATTTTAGTTTCAAATATTGTATGTACTGTTTAAATTTTTTTTATGAATTTTAATGGATTTTAATCATTATGTTCACATTATTTACGCTTTTAAAATTTTTATATAATGTTTTTAGTGTATAGTTGGTCCAGAGTAAACATTGGCCCTCATCGGTCCTGGCTACGCACGCCCCTGTTTGTTGATTTTGTTAAGTGAAAATTTTCAATTATGTATTGAGTGGTGGTGTTGGCATTTTCAAGGGAGGAGAAAATTGAGGAGTTGATAGTATTGATAGTGAGCAACATTAAGCATTAAGTGCTGATAGTGACCTAAATTAAGCAACATTAAACATTAGTATTGTTGGCTATGGACTTGATGTTGCTAATATTGCTTAGTTAGCAATATTAAGCATCGAGCATAATGTATTAGAAAAGCTTGATTATTTAATTAAGCATTGAACATAATATATTTACCATTATATTGGCATTGACATGTTGTATCATGTACACGGTTAGTGAACTTGATTTGAGCTAAGGAGATGAACATGACTAGCTTTTCTGATGGAACAAGCGAAGATGAGAATTGTTTGGATGATCTAATCGACGATGAGAATTTGAGTACATATACATCTAGTGATATACCCAAATTGCAGTTTAGGTCAGGTTTGATTAATGTAATTTCTAATAAATGCTACCGAGTATTTTGTTTTCCGTTCATTTGAAACACAGTTCAAATTTTATACTTAGAGGGTTGGATTCTTTTGGGGCATTGATTTTCAGGAAAGACATCTCTAAAGCAAAGTGGATCGATAAATTAGGAATGAGTGAGATTATCGAGAGAAAGGGCCGTCTTTGGACAACCACAGGGATAGTTCGCAATGCAAAACTCTACAGTTCCGTTGAAGAGAGTTTGTATGTTTTAACATTTACTTTTTTTTATGGAAACCATTATGGCCGTAGGGTGGACACTGTTTTCGGCTAGACTGTGTTTGCTTATTTTTTTTGTCAAACTCCAATGGACTCAGAAATAACTAAGTATTACTGAGTATAACAATAATTATTTGGATGTCATGTTGTTACATTTGAGTAATTAGTATCATAAAAGTCAAAATTTTGGCCCATTAGAGTTTGATAAAAAACTGGCTTACAAGGTTCCAGTTTTTTTACCAAGCCTATAAAATTGACTTTTTTTTTATAATAATAATAACTCGGATCTATTGATCCATTTTAGTAATTAAGCATTTCATATCTGAAAACTATTTTTTGTTGAATAACCTATTTGTTTTTACAGAATGTGATCTTTTTAAACCATTTTGCTTATTGTGTGCTACTGAAGTTGCTAAAGATGATCTTTTTAGTCCTTTTCATAGAATAATTTTTTATCTTATGAGTATTTTATTCATAATTATTCATAATTCAGCAATTCAATCAATATTAGCTACAACTTGAGCAAATCCGGCCTAATTATTCCTTTCGTTTGTAAGAAATCATGTGCTTCATGTTGTTACATTGGGGAACCATCAATGATGAGTATTTCCTTTTGGTCACTATCTGCAGATATTTAATTGAAATTGGTGCTTTGAATCTCCTCAACCACAATGATGAATGCATATCTCTCAAGGACATGTATAACATGGTTACAAATGCAAAGAATGGATGTTCTTGGGAAGCTTTTGAAGCTTACAGACACTTGAAGTGCCTTGGATACATTCTTAGGCGCCATGGTGTTCCTTGGACTGTGAAGAGACCTAAAGTGAGTCCTTATACCATCCACAGCACAACAGAAGTTGATTGCACATCAAATGCAAAACTAGAAGACAGTCATCTCATCTCTGAAGTGCTTACCAATATGGGCATTGGTGAGCTGAAACCAGTATTTGATGTTTACCCTCCTAATGCGAAATTCAGAAAATCTTCCCCGGGTGATCCCTGCTTTGTACTATGTGTTACTAGGTACGTGGTTTTATTTATTTATCTTATACTACATTACTACGTAGCATTTTCTTTCAAGAGTTACGTGAAAAGTTGGCCCCAATATGTAGTGATAGATTGAGACTTCGTAATGCATTCCATGGACACAGCATTGTGCTTTATAATACCTGTTGGTGCCTGATATCCACATTGCATTGTGTTGTGCTATTATTTTCCTTATTTTTGATTTTTTGGTTAGTTGGTTGAGTAATAGACTAATAGTGTTTGGTAAGTTGGTGAATAAACTAGCTTAGGAACTCATTGTCAAGGATTATACATTTATAGTTTCCGTTAGGGAAAAGGGTCACATAGGGTCTCGAACTTCCAAAAAAATGTCAAATAAGGCCTTATATAGGAGGTTATGTCCGGCTGACACCATTTGGGCCGGTTCATGGTGGAATTTTCAATGAAACTTTTGAGCATCTTATTCATTAAGTCTAGTTTACTCATACCAATTTTCAGCTACAACTTCAATCAGGAAGACATTCAAATAAATTCTTGAAGATAAGTGCGCAGTTATCTTCAAGAATTTATTTGAATGTCTTCTCGATTGAAGTTTTAGCTGAAATTTGGTATGACTAAACTAGACTTAATGAATAAGATGTTCACAAAATTTCATCGAAAAATTCCACCGGGAACCGCCCCAAATGGCGTAGGCCTTATTTGACATTTTTTTTGTAAGTTCGAGGCCCTATTTGACCCTTTTCTCTTTCCGTTAGAGAAATTGTGCCAATTTATTTGATTTTATATAGTTTCCGCATGCTACATTAGTCTAATCCCACATATAATATGGGAGGTGGGGATGGGATGTGATCACTGTTGACTAACTTTTGGTTACGTTGAAAACATTGACTTGAGGATTGCTTGAACTATAAAATCTTGATTCAATGTGTACATCTTGAGAGTTTACAATTTACAAACTTGTATCCCTGTGTTTATATTATTCTGATGAAAGTGAGGCATCTATTTTTGTAGAGGATCCCCACCATCCCAACAAGAGATCAAAGATCTTGAGAGACGTTGCCATGGCATTCCTTTAAAAATATGTAACATTGAACATGGGCGTGTCAGTTTCTTCTCCTTTGACAGAGTGGAGCTTCCTGCACTTCCTTGACATGTTTGCTGTGATGGTGGAGATCTGTGTTTTGAGATGAAAGCACCAGTGAGCGTGGAGAGTATTTACTCTCCAAAGCTACCATCTTCTTGAATATCAAAGCTATCACCAGTAAAAGGGAACCATCTAGGGTGTTCTGTCGGAGACCAGGCCAGTCCAGAACCCAAAATCTTGAATCACAGCATGGACTGAAGAATACCTAGTCCTGATATCCTGGACAGGACAGGGTTGAATAAACCTTGACCGTTATTAAATTTATGGACAAAAACATGATTAAAGTTACTGTGTGTATACCGTTAGGGAAAAAAATAAAAAGAAAACAAAACGTTAGGATTACTATAATGTAAAATTGAACATAATCATGTTGTAAAATTACTATTATAGATATTAAAATGGACAAAGTCATGTTTTTATCCACTAGTTTTATTTTAATCGCATTCAATTATGTATTAAAAAGACATTAAAAGGAAACTATCCACAAGTTTTATTGTCAAGACGTACTAAAGCGGACAATATCCACAAGTTGTTTATAACACGTTATCAGCATGATGCTCGAGATGGTAGGGTGTGTTGTGAACATGAAGTTCTCACATTGCTCCCACACGAAGTTGTGCGTGTTCTTATACGCAGGGCCTGAAGTCTTCGTGTATGGACACATTTTAAAGATGTGAGGTCCTGAATTATCAAAGTGGACAATATCCACAAGCTATTTATAAGTTATAAAAAACATCTCATATAAATATATAATCTCAGTTTTACGTTAACATACCCTGTTCTTCAATTAAGGGGGTGTTTGGAACTGATTCTGATTCTGCTTCTTTTTTAAAGTAGAATTAGAATCAGTTTTCAGAAGCTGGTCATCCCCAGCTTCTAAAAAAACTGATTTAGGAGTAAATTAGAGCACCAGAATCACTTCTGCACTTTTACCCAAACATTTCAACTTCCGCTTCTGCTCTCTGAAGGAGCAGAAGCAGTTTTAAGAATCAAATCCAAACACCCCCTAAATATAAGCATATTAAAAAAAACAGAATGTGTTCTTAGTTGTATTCTTATCTGCCGTGGTCGATATTTTTTGCCTTGGACCGATTTGGACCTAAATCTCTTTTCCAAGGATCATTTTTCCTATCTTGATTGGGTGAATAAGCCTAAGGTGGGGGGCAAATAATGTAACTGCGGTATATCTTAGTTACTAGTTACCATACCAGAAAATATTGAACTTACCAACTTTTTTGCATACCTACATTTATGATACAATATGATACCGATCTGTTTCGAAATGGTATTGATATATACTTTGATAAAAACTAGTAAACTGATGCACCGTTATATTGACATTATTTGATGAAATAGGCAAATTTACAATCAAATTCAAACCATGCTTTCCTTTCATTACGATATTTGTGAACAAGTTGTGAAACAAGTCTTAAATTAATATCTGCTATCTATATTTGGTAGACCTTTACTGCCTTCCCATAGTAGTATCTTGGTGGGGAGGAGTTGGTCCTCAATATAAAAATGATTGGATGAAACAAAACATCACTATAATGATATAGGATCTTATATTCACGTTGTTTGTTTGTTTTTTTTACTTTTTTGGAGAGCGTGAGCGTTTAAATGTTGAAACAAAATCATAATTATTCTTGCTTAAAAATAAACAAGACGTCAATAAGTCATTATTAGTATTATTTTAAATGGTTTTAGTGACAACTTTAACATATTGATAATAATGTGATTAATAAGGTAGTGTATTGGGAAAACATGACGTCATTGTCTTATTTTATGTCACTCCCAGATTTTTCTATCACTGACGATTGTCACTTTCTATCTCCGTCATATATAACTGCCGCCATATATTTCATTTGTCATATATCGTTGGAAAAATCTCTGACGACTTTATCCGCTGATTTTTTAAAATAAAATTGAAAAAGTGAATGTAAGGCTGATAGATCTTCCAGCTCAGGTCTCCAGCCACACGAACCCGAAGGTTCTGGAACAACTCACAACCACCACAAAAGGATTTACCGGACTGGGAACCACCACCAAAGGTACCAGAATCCAAACCCAGCTACCCTCTCAAACCTCTCCCTAGAACCTACAGAGTGCGCGCAGACACACACACGAAGGAGGTGAAGAGAGGAGCGAAAGAAGGAGAAAGGCTAGAGAGAAGCCAGACCCTCTCTCTCTAAATAGAAAGCTCTAGAACTAGGGTTACACAAATGCGGCTCACTAACCGGGTAAGGCAGATCAAGGGATTAAATAGGCGGGTCAAGGAAGCCCAACAAGGTAAGTAGGTCACAGAGGGTATAAGGACCGAACAACACAAGGGAATGGGTCAAGCAAGGAAGCAGTGGGTCAGGTGGTAACCAAATGATTTAAGGCCCAAGTACCGGAAAAATATTAGAGAAGAAGGCCAATGCCCATAGGGCCAATACCTCTCACATTCTCCACCTTATTGGTCCTATGTGGTGTAGAGCAAAAAATGTGGCATGAGAAAGACTCATCATCGCTGGTTGCCCAAGACATCCAAGGATATCTTAGGCCAACAATTGGAGGTGTCCAAAAGACACTCCCTGGGTCACACAAGACCCAGAAACACAAATGGAAAAGTGTGATGCACACTTTCCTGATCCAGAAGGATCAAAAGGACAAACCGGATGCCCAGAGAACACCATGTTCTCAGAGCAAAGTCCACGAGTGCAAACAACACTCCATGGACAAAAACCCGCAAAACAAACAATATCTAATCACAGTCCAGATTTAATGTTCGTTTACAAGAAAGTAACTTCTCAACAGAAAAGCACTTTGTCCCCATATCAGCAGGGTTGAACTCTGATGGGATCTTCTCCAACATGATATCTCCTGCCTCCACAATTTCTCGAATGAAATGGAACCTGACATCAATGTGCTTGGTAAAGAAATTAAAGAAATTAGTCATTAGTAAAGAAATTAGACCACGACCGAGCGAGGTAAGTGGTAGATTATACATGACGGGTGAATACTCTGGACCGAGTAAGGTCAGGTGAAACTCTGTAGGACCAGGATGAGTCCTTTATACTCAAATGTTAACAAGGGCCCGTGTAGTCCTTGAGGTGTGTTAACCTCCAACAAATTACACATAGGTAACAAGGGCAAATGCAGTCCTTGAGGTGTGTTAACCTCCATCAAATTGCATATAGGTAACAAGGACCCATGTAGTCCTTGAGGTGTGTTAACCTCCAACAAATTACACATAGGTAACAAGGGCAAATGCAGTCCTTGAGGTGTGTTAACCTCCATCAAATTGCATATAGGTAACAAGGGCCCGTGTAGTCCTTGAGGTGTGTTAACCTCCGGCAAATTACACATAGGTAAAAAGGGCAAATGCAGTCCTTGAGGTGTGTTAACCTCCATCAAATTGCATATATGTAACAAGGGCCCGTGTAGTCATTGAGGTGTGTTAACCTCCACCAAATTACACATAGGTAACAAGGGCAAGTGCAGTCCTTGAGGTGTGTTAACCTCCAACAAATTGCATATAGGTAACAAGGGCCCGTGTAGTCCTTGAGGTGTGTCAATCTCCAGCAAATTACACAAAGGATGAGGGTGTATGCGTACTCCTCAAGACGGGGTTAGCCCCGGGAATGTAAACTATGATTGTAAGGATGAATAGTCTTCGAGGTAGGTGAACCTCAAGGTAATGATTTTAGATGACTAAACAAGCGTAATCGGGAATGAGTTCCCGATAGGGTATTTTCCTTGGTCTAGGAATTTAATTAAACCATGTATGTGATATGGGAGCCCGAAGCCCCCCCCCCCCCCCCCCCCCGCAATAATTATCTTTGTTATCGGGTGAGTTAGCCTGCAGGTGACTTCACTCGAGGGTAGGACATGGGAATGGTGAATTTGATGAGGCTGTTACGCCTAAATGATTTGAAAGACAAATGGGCCCACAGACCATATATTTTACTCATATGTATATATGTATACAATATGTTTTAAAAGGGGGTAGCCAAGAGTTATGCCTATACATATACTATCACCCTATGTTGAGGGTCCCATGTGAGAAACGTTAGTTATATTACATACAGTTTGCCCTCACCAGTACTTTTCTGTAGTACTGATCCCTCGGGGGAACCACCCTTTCAGGTTGAAGCTAGAGCTTATTTCCTGCACCCGTTGTTCGGGAGATCGATGGAGAGAAGACGTGGTTCGTGCTTCCTCTGGTTCTATTTCTAAATAATTAAATAATGCTCATTGAACTATTTTTGACTTATAAATTAATGAAGCCTGCGAACTCTTGTTTTACCCTTGTGTGGGCTCTTATTAAACACTTATATTCCGCTATGTGTTTAATTGTATGTTGATGTTGTTATGTATGTTTACTAATCGGTTTTGGCATATGTATCTATCGGACGTCTTGTGCAATTTAGTAAGGATGAACTGCGGTTATTCTTATTGGGTTGTACGACGGTTGTCTACGTGGCATAGACATGGTCTGGGGCGTGACAGATAAAATAATTGAACTACTCCGTACTAATTTTTGGTTTCTTTCTTTATATGTAGCAAACGGAAGATCGACCAAAATCTAGTGAAACGACCAGATTCGGGTAGATCAATGTATCCGTCAACCGAAAGTTTAGGAAATTCGGGTTGGACGTGTTAAAACCCGAATGTGAAATCATCTCATTGTCCTTTTTTATTTTATTTTCACATAAAAATAATAAAAAACACAAACTGCAAATAATAACATACTCCGTAAATATTAGTCTAAAAAATCACCAACAATTCAAATACACAGAACATAATTATCTTAAGATTTTGTTTAAGATACATATAAATAAATAATATAGGTTTTCTAAAAATCTTACGAAATAAAACTTATGGATAAAAATGTGACTAAATTTACTATGATTATATTCCCATGGCCATTACGGTAAACAACTTGAACATAACTAAATTTACTAATATTAAAACGTGAACACAATTATTTACCCGCACGGGTAGCTCAGTTGGTTCAGTGGTGGGAAATTTGGACCAAGTGACCAAGGTTCGAAACCCGCAACGGCCGTGTGGAGGTCACAGAACCTGAAATAAGGCTGGGCCTATGGTGCGCACGGGAAAAAATGCCTACTATCATTGGGCCGACTGAGTCACCGTGATTAACATCCTCCCAAAAATCCTGTCGGGTCGGGGTATGGGGGGCTCCTGGGGTGGGAGATTCCACCTTTTTGGACCAAGTAAAAGGAAGCGATGTCTGAGTTCCTTAAACAACTCCAGGTTATACTTACCCAAAAAGTGGCGATCTTGAGTCCCATGTCCCACAACCAAGTCTATGAAGTCTGTGTCTGGATCACAACAACTCATCAAGAAGTCAACACATTCCTCCTGATTCAAAGTAAATTAGGATCGTAGAAAGAATAGATTTTAAGCAAAGTACTAAATGGTAATTCAAGTGAGATTTTAATCAAACCTTTGATGTTCTATGTGGATAATAGAAGAAAGAAGGGCAGAAGAAAAGGCCTTCATATGGCAAATTCGGAATGGCAGATCGAACGGGAACAACCATTTGTCCTGAGAAATAAGTATCCATATTTACACAACCATCTTCTTTTATAACAAAATTATAGTTGATTTGAGCAAATTAATCTAGGCTTTTTACCCGATTCAATGGGAGAGAGAATAAGAGTAGAATCAACAGGGGCAATGTTATTACCCCGTTTGTCAAAAGCAAATGTCTCAAACCTAAATTTTCCCACATGACGAAATAAAAAAGGGCATCATCTGGAACAACGGATTCTAGGATAAACGTGTAGAACTCACTACCACTGAGCTGGAAGGTATCAACATGTACAAACCAAGATTGGTTACCATAACAAAACACATCACTCTTTTCTACGTGCTCAAAAAGATGCCTGCTCATACAATTTGGGATGTGCTGGGAACATGTATACGATACAATAATGGGAACATGCATGTATTGACATAAAATACTACAAAATTTAATTAGTACGTACCATCCTAAAGAGCTTGGTGTCTAGAATCCACCAAGCTATGTTTGATTCATTGGCATTGGGATATGGATAGAAGGGTTAAGATGGTCTCTATGACAGGCTGGGAAACAGAAATATTCATACAATGATTGGTACATAAATATATGTAAAATAGAATGATTATACAGAATTGCGCAGAACTAACCTTCATCGTCGTATGTAAACTAGATTCTAGTATCTCATTCAAAGTACTTTCAAGAATCGTTTTGTTTGGTGTTGACTCAGGAACAGTAGAGTTGCTGGGATATGAGAGGAGTTCTGTTGCACGTTTAAAATTATACTAGTCGCGTTCAAGTCAGCAACGACATTCCGCTTTTGAATCTGACCGCGTAACAACAGCAAAGGGTATCCTTCTTCCGCGCAGAGTATGCAAAACATAAACAAGCCTATTATCAGTAGGAACTCCCTCGATGGTGTAAGCCCTAAAAAGTTTCATTGTTGGAGAAGAAGAGAAGAAGACAACGGGATTCCACGGATTGAAACCTAGAGAGAGAAAATAATTTAACTTCTGTGTTAATTTTTTAATTTGGGGGTTTAGTTGTTTACTGGAATTATTTATATTATTTACTCTGTATTATGGAGTATGTAGCAGACGGTACATGTCTTTCTTTAATTTGAGAAATCGACTAAACCAAATCGGCTAGATACAGGTCGATCATTGTATCTTGTCGACCAAAGCTCTTATTTATTTATTAGACCATTTTTTATCTTTTGAACGAAACCAAAGTTTGAAATAAGAATTAGCGCGTTACGAATATTTTAAAAAGGGAGCGCATCACAAAATTTTGAAAACAGGGCGGGAGCGCATACACATAATATTGCTGGCTGGCCCATTCACATCACATCAAAATTTTGAAAACAGGGCGGGAAACATTCACATCGGATCAAATTGGACTAATTGGACTAAAACCGAGAGTACCGGGACTAATTGCACAGAAAGATGGACCAATTGGACTAACATCGAGATTACCGAGACTAATTCCACTGAGAGAGCGAGACTAATTCCACTGAGAGAGGGACTAATTGGAAGAACATCCAGAGTACCAGGACTAATTGCATAGGTAGATGGACTAATTGGACTAACATCAAGAGCACCGAGACTAATTGCACTGAGAGAGACTAATTGGACTAACATCTAAAAACATTCTATCATCCAAGAGTATTTTCTACCACACATTTATCAGACCGGTTCAGAAAAAACCTTAACAGAAGGGGAGGTGATGGATAGTGTACCCGGGGGGTAGCTTATCCGGGGGGTTATTGCGGGGAATAACAAGAGAGAAGTCAGAGCAAGCAAGTATATATAGAGAGAGTATATTATAAAGAGTGGAGCGTTTTCAGCGTGGTTACAAATGGGGAAATGAGGTGCTATTTATAGTAGCAATAAATGCCGGACAGGGACACGTGTCAAGCGTCCATTGGCCGAGAGGTCACCTCAACTGGTTGGCGCTGGCAACCGCATGTGGCCGCATTTAATGCGGCTGTTGGATGAGTCGTCGTACTTGGTACGGTGACCCAGATGCGCGTGGAGGGAGGATCCTGTCGTGCGAGCTGCCTTCGGCCGTATAGTAGTTGCCGAAGGCTCTCTGTTGCTGAGGGCATGCTAGTGCCGAGGGCTACTGTTTTTTTGCCGTTTTCCTCCCAGTTTCTTAGTTTGCTTGAAAAACCCGTTCTGTGAGAGATTTGAGCCTTCGGCCAGGGGGTCGAAGGCTCCCCAGTGTGCGCTGTGGGCTGCTAAGTGCTTGGGGCGCCGTAATTTGGGCCTGCTGTGCTTCCTGGGCCGGTTGGGCCTTCATTGGTGTAGTAGGAGTCTGTGGGCCGGGGATTCCCGGGCCATATACTCCATCAGGAGGAAAGTGGAAGACTTCCAAAATCCTCCACTTCCTCCAATTCTAAACCCTCCAAATCGGGTTATTTTGGAGGAAACGTGTTGATAACCACAAACTATCCACTCCTACGTGAATGTACAAAACGTTATAATATAAAAATGTACAAAACAAAGAGTTTTGAAAAATTAAAAATTTAAAAACTAAAAAAATTTAAAATTTTAAATTTAAAGAATAAAAAATTTAAAAATTAAAAATATAAAATTTTAAAATTTAAAAATTTAAAAATTTTGAAAAAAAAATAATAAAAACTAAAAAATAAAAGATTATAAAAAATTTATCAAAAACCTTCCCCCCCTCCCTCCTTGACTCTTCCCTTCCATTCTCTCCTTTGAACCAAACAAGGCCTAAGACTACTTGTGCAATTTCCCTATATTGAGTCCCTGCCACCAAACCCAATTTCCCTTCCCCTTACTCTCTTAATGTTTGGAATAGCTTTTCTCTTAAATAAACTAAAATTAGTGTTTTCAAGTGACAATTTCTACTTGAAAATGGTTTCTCGACTTTTTTTTATAAAAAGGGCATTTTGTTTTTTCTATAACACAAAAAGTACTTATTTTATCAAACACTACCAACTTTTACTTTTCAAAATATTTCTTTCTCAAATACGAGTACTATCAACTTTTAATCACTTTATTCAAAATCACTTCAAAAAAATGGAGTACTTTTTTGGTTATTTTTTTTAAGCAAAAGCATTTCCAAAAGCTTCCTTCTTACTTCCGCTGAGCGGTGGATGTGCCTTTGGGCCGTCTCAGCCCAACTATACAAGCCCTGCCCTCTGGGGTTTAGCTCCTGCTTACAACTTCACAGAGCATCCAGTGCTGCCGGCTGCGACGGGGACGACGGGACGATTGGACGAAGACGGATTTTCGGAGAGAACCACAGGGCTTCACAGCAGTTCGGCCCTTCTTCTGATTCCCGGCTTAATTTCCGGTGGCTGGTGCGACAGTGCTCCCATCTCTAGACTCCAGGTAAACCGCTTAATGCCTTAACCTAATTGTTTTTCTGATAATTTCATTTAAAATTGTTTATTTGTTGAATTTTATATTTTGAATTCAAATAAAATGTTTGTTGTTGAATTGTTGAATACTTTTATTTGTTGAGTTCAAATAAATTATTTATTTTTTGGAAATTATATTCTGATAATCTCATTAAAAATTTTAAGTACAGAGTATATTGTAAATTTGTAATTGTGTATTTGTTGATTTAATTAACGTTGTTAATTTCTGACAATGTAATTTTTACAATTACACATATTATTTCAATTGTAGTTGGTCTAGGTTGTTTGACAAACAAGCTATGTTATGATATTATACACTGAAACCTATGCGGCCGAGCATAGGTGGTGTTTCATTGAATAATTTAGTTTCTTCGTCATATAATTTCATTCTTAACGATTAAAATAATGTTAAAAAGGCTCGAATAGAAGTTGAGTTTTCGGATGATGACATTGTTAGTGATCCTGGATTGCGTAAACCGATTGACACATAATGTTAATATTATACACGAGTTGAGGAGGCGTTATCTGACAAAAGGCCCTTGCCAACCACGTGTGTTTAAATTTCCACAGACTGATTTTAATGGGTGCAAGAGATCATTTCAAAAGCAGTGGTTTGAAGAATTTAATTGTTTCTAGTATAGTGATTTTATTTAAATTTTATAGTTTTGTTTATCTCTATATTCATGATGTATATGATTTCTTTGTTAATGTGGCCCTGCAAGTCGCGAGTCCGGGTTCCGCCACTGCATACCAATGGGAAAAAGAGCAAAGACTTCCAGAAAGGGTAAGAAGGCATGGAGAGCCAACATAAGCACGGAAGATATCGAGGACTTTTTTGACAAGTCCACCAAAGACGCTCTTTCCGGTGGCTCTCTCGCTGACGTTCCTAGCGACTCCCTTGTCTACGTTGATAAATCCAGTGGTATTTTCTCTCATTCTGTTTTACCCCCATATTCCCAAAAACCTTTCAACCTGCATATGTGCGTATCGATGTATACAGTATACTGTATCATGTATGATTCTTTTTTTTTTTGAGAGGTATCATGCATGATTCTATATGCCTGAAAGAAGTATGGATTCAGAACTGATAATATGTTGAGGAAACAATTAAAGGAATAAAAAATTTGTTATTAATGTGGAATGTGAGAGACGTAGCTAAATTTAAGTTTAGTTAGTTTAGTGAAGTCATGATTCTATATAGCGGCGGACACAGAAATTCCCAGTAGTAGAGGCAACAATGTAATAAAAAACATACCAATACATATATATTAAACTTTTGGGATAAATATACCTAGGAGAAAAAAATTTGTTGGGAAGGGGACCCGGGCGGCACCCATTTGCCCCCTTTGGGTCCTTTGTGGATTCTATATTAGACTTATTAGATTTTTAGCTCAATATTAGAGGCACGCTTTGTACAGCTTAGAGGTATATATTGTACAGCTTAGGGGAATATTGGTCCTCAATGTAAATATTGATGAAGCTTAGGGGAATAAGCTATTCACATATCACAATCCTTAAATATTGTAAAAATGAGAAAATCATGAAAACTGTGCGCTTACCAAGAACCCAACGATAGTTATTATTAGTTATTTTTTAGTTTTATTGTTTCAGTACAACTACATATGGAGTAGCATATATGAGACCAAAATGTGTAAAATTTACTTGGAGACCTGAAGAAAGCCTAACATAAGTAAACATTTGGATTAGTGTTGGGCTGTTGGCCTTCCTCTCTATGATGGTGAATTGACAATATTTATATGTTTATCCTGCAGATCTTCCAGCCAAGCGGAAAATTCAAAAAAAGAGGGACCAAGTACTTCATTTTCAAAGTTTGTTGCAGAAAAATGTTTTTGTTAAACCAGTACCATCTTCAACTACTAGGAAGTCGAAAATGAATAGTAAAGGGGCTAAAAAGGCCAAAGGTTCTTCTCAAATGTGTGAAAAGGTTGGACTTCAAGAACCCTTGGTTCTTAGACCTACCTGATTCCATTAAATGAGCATCTGTACTGCATCTCCCTGCACAACCCCATCTCACCTGTACAATCATTTTTGTTTATGTAATAAGACGGTGATTTGATATTTGATGATAGCTGACATGATTTTTTTAAATGCGAATTAGGATGCTGCTGCTTCTGCTTCTTCTGGCATAGTTGACATATGGAGTAAAACAGGTACACGTCTGTAACTAGAATTTCCATATATGCTCTCTCTGACTTAAAAAGATAGTCCACTATCTTTTTACACACAAATCAATGAATCTTTGTTAAGTGACTTGGAATAATTACTTTGTATGCACTTCTTATTTCTAACCTTTCTGAAGTTCACAATTTCCTCCTGTGTAGGGGTTGTATATAGTTTTGAAATTTGTGATTATTAGGTAGGATAAATTTAGAAATAGAAATTATATGCAAGCCCAATAAAAGGACTGTTTTTGGGGCAGAGTGAGCAATTTTTTATTATGATGGCAATATGTGTTTCCTGACCATGATTTGCTTCTACTACTGTAGGTGAACAGAATGTTAAAAGAAAAAAGGTAAAAAATTTGTATTTGTATCTTAAGGAAAAAGTATTTTGGTTCAGAAGATTTATATATATACTTTTTTTTCATGGCGGCTTATTGCAGTCCAAGAGTTCTGTTATACCTGCCGTTGAAGTTGATCCCCCAGGATGCTCATTCAATCCATTCCCTGAATGCCACCAGGTTTTTTTAAAACCATATCATCAACTTTTTTTCTTTAATGTTTGTTTTGTTCTATTGATGGTAAATTATGTATTCATCTCTTTGTGGTGTATTCAGGATGCATTGGCAGTGGCTGTTGCAGATGAAATGAAGAAAGTTTATCGGGATGAGTTGGGGCCCGAGCCTGTCCCTTTAACTGTTCCTGGAGATACAGTTGATGAAGATAATGTAAGTGTGTGGCTAGGTGTAGTGTTTTTTTCCCATTAACTACAATTTTTATGTGCTCATTTGGTTTGGTGATTTCCCCTTTGTGTCAGATGTATTTCCTTGATGTGGATGATGCAAGTGATGATGACGTTGATAATATCGCCGAAGATGGAAATATGGAACCGGAGAAGAGGTTTGTATTTTAAGGTCTTGATGTAGGGGTTTGGAAGGCTTAGTCCATAACTTGATGAATATAATGTTACCAAATAAAAGCTGATTGAAATGTTTATGATCATATATTATGTTTATCTTTCAATATTTATAAAATCTAAAATATACATGAATGACACTCCGTCCCAAATTGAGTTGCAAAATTGACTTTTTGGTCAAACTGGTTTATTTTATTCACTTAATTAGAATATCAATTCTTAATTATATTTTAATGTGGATTTTGCAACTGTATAGAAATTTTAATGTAGTTTCTGAATATATAAATTTTAACTTAAAAATCCTTTAAGTTTGCACCCCATTCAGAATTTTTTCTTCACAAAATGTTTATGATGGGGTGCAAAGTCAAAGTTTTTTTAAAATGGGGTGCAAAGTCCAATATCACCCTAAAAGTGGGGTGCAAAGTCAAATACCCCCAAATTTTAATTATTAAAAATGAATTAATTATCAATATAGACGATTTAACTTTAACATTGGTTGACCAAAAAATGTTGACTTTGCAAAACAATTTGGGACGGAGGTAGTATATAAATAGCACTCCAAAGCCCCCAAAGCCCTCCTATCAAACTGACTCTTAAAGAAGTCTCTTCTCCTCCTTACAAAATATGCCTAAGAAAAAGTGTATTGACAAGGTTCAAGGAAATGCCAGGATTGAAAATTTATTTATTTGTCGATTATGATTGGGTATTATTGATGGTTATTAACCGGTCGTGTATGTACTACTACCTCCGTCCCTAAATAAAGTATCCGATTACTAGCCTATGGTCAACTCAAATAGTTTTTAATCTTTTACTTTATATATTCAACTTTTATCAATTTTGATTTTTTGTGACTTTATAAAGCAATTAATGTACTTTCTGAATGTGTAACTTTTATTTTTTAAAAATAATCTGTGTATTTATAGGGATCAGTTAACATTATCGCTAGTCAAACTTCGTAAAGCGAAACAGGTTCTTTTTTAAGCGACGGATGATTTTTAAAATTATCGCCAGTCAACTTTTTTTGGACGCAATATAGTTATTGACTGAGATTTTAACTCAATTTAGTCCTCGTACATATTTGGTTCTTAACAAGAGTTTTGTTTTATCTTTTTTGCCTAATCACTAATTTTACACCTGATTTTAGACCAATGGACTCGATATTGTTGCTCTCATCTATAGTCTAGATCCAATTTGGTTTGAACGTACTGAAATTTCTTGTTAAGGTGAAATATACATGAGGACTAAATTGGATTTTTATTGCATTTTCCTGTATCAAATTGAGTGAGGATTGATTTCATTTATATCCTTTCATAATCTTTCCCCCCCTTCATTTTTTTCTTTTTTTTTGTTTTTAATCTTGCTTATCTTCTTTATCCTTTTATCTTATCTTTTTTTTTATCTTATGTTTATCTTTGTCCTCTTTTATCATTTTAAATCTTTTTTGCTCCATTTTCGTATATCGATTCATGTTAGCCAACTCCAAATTCTTTTGGAACTAAGACTTGGATGTTGTTTTTGTTGTCGGTACCAAATTGAGTAAAGGTGAATAGTTGAAGGACCAAATGGGGTATTAACCGGTTAACCCTATTAGTAGTGCATCATTCGATTGAATTCACAGTTTAAATAATATAAACCAATAGAAGTATCTCACCGTATGTATTATGAAATTCTAACTCTGATTACAATTAATGAAGGGTACAAAAAACCAAAGTTGTGACTAGAGTTGAAAGGAACAAGAAGGCTAGACGCAAAGATCAGTTGAAAGTTGAAGCAGAAGTAGAAAAGGTGAAGAACCTTTCAAAAGAAATTGACAGGTACTGTTTGTTTTTCTTGTCCAAATGTTTCCCTCTGTTTGTGGCTTTATTCCTTATTATATTTGTTGTCTCTAAGAAGCTGTTAGTCTTTTACAGCTTGCAAGATATAATTCAAGAAATAGCCAAAGAGGATGAAGAGAAGCAGAAAAGGCATATCCGACGTGTTGTTTCTAAACAAGAAAAACTGAAGTCTTTTCCTCCACGCCTTGGGAAGCGCAAGTATGAAACTTTTTATCCGTAGGATCTTGGGACGGGTGTGGATGTTATGGGGGGTGGTGTTGCTTGAGTAAAAGATCACAAGGTTAATTATTTTAAGCTATAAATATATGAAGTATATATGAATTTAAAAAAAATAATTTTTGTTGTTAAAGCATCAGCCACTTGCATGTTTTACACATGTAAATGTTTTGTTTTTGTTATATAGCTTATATGTGCTTAATGTATAATCTATAAATCTATAATAAAGTGCATTGCAAGATTTTGTATTAAACATTTTATAACTATAGATGAGTGATTATTTACCACAGAATTTGCTAAATGTATTTGGTTTTCTTTTCTATATGAAGTGTATAGTATACACATGCAGGCAACCGAAATAAAGAAATAAAGTAGTGATATACTGATATACAGAGTGATGATGATGTTTGACCTTAATTGATTAGCTGAGGCTATTTTTGAGTTGGGACTTGGGAGTAGTACGTTCTAGAATATCCACAAAAAGTATAGTCATTCCAGGCCCATATTTTCTTGTAGTTTCCTAGTTTCTATTTTCCTTATCATTCTTTCTACATTTTATATACAAACTAAATAGCTTGTGCCAAATTCAGATTTCAGCCTGCTCCTGTTCAAGTCCTATTATCAGAAGAAATCACTGGTTCCCTTCGGCAATTAAAGGTTCTTCCTCTTGGCCCTATTTGCTTGGTTTGCACTAGGGGTGGACATGGGTTTCAACTTTCAATGGGCTGGTTTGTGGTATCCCATGTGTAGTAACTGAAACCCCTCCCCCTTCTTAGTGGTTCACGGTCCATTTTCTAGCAGGCCCTGAACCTGTTTAAAGCAAAAATTTGGGAGGACACATAAACTGGAACTAATACTGATACGCCCCTTTTTAGAGGAATCAGGCTGGGTTAGTACTGGGATCTGGATCTGGTAGAGTGGTAGGGATCCGCATGGGGATTTCAGTTGATGCGGGTGAAAAAATGTCCACCCTGAACTTTGCACTTTGTGAAACTCTTCTATTAGTGTTTAGGTATGGAACTGATATTTTGTGCCATATTGATGGCATTATATTGCAAAATAAAAGGGATGCAGCACTCTTGCACAAGATAGGTTCAAGAGCCTGGAGAAAAGAGGACTTGTCGTTCCTTCAAAAAAGACTGGCAGGTCCGTTTGCTGATTTTGTCATATTACAGTTGTGATACTTTTGTCGATTGATCTGCTCTGAAATTCATGCAGAACCTGTTTGGTAAATCATGTCGTCTGCTTATAAATCCGATTTTTCATCAAACACTTGGTCACTAACTTATTCCATTGGGTTTGAATCCACTAATTACGGAAAAAAGTACTGTATTTTTTTATCAGATTAGAAAGTAATCAAGTGTCAATTCTAGTTGTTTACCTCCGTTTCTAGATATTTGATCTCTTACATAATTCTGCATGTTCAGTCAATTCTGCCTCTACTTTTGCAATTCGGGGGTTTTTAGCACTTCAGCAAATAAGTTTCAAAAAAGTCGTTTCTGTAACATTCATTTTATATTTAGAAATTGAATTGCAATTGCATTTTCAGGAGGTAATTGTCATTTCACGGACCTGCAATATCCTGCACCGTTGCTGGTGCCGTTGGCCCGTGTCGTATGAATTCTGCAGCAGTCAATCTGGATTTTGTATCATTTTAATTCTTCAGGTTTTATATTTTGATATTATGGAAATATGGGTTGTATTTCAAAAATAGGTAAGATATTACAGAGTACAATTTATAGGTGATATGATCTTTTCAATGCAATATGGTTTGTCTGAACTGATATTTTGTGAATTTATTACGGAGTATTTCTGTAATATTTGGGATATGTAGTCATTTTCCATGTTTTAATAGATATTGATAATAATAGTAGTGTTTCGTATCTGCATATTAATAATGTTATAAAAAACTTTTGTAAAAAAAAAAGAAAAGTTCTGGGAAAACTATCAAATACGTCCTACAGTATTAACCAATCCAACTCTCTAACACTCAAAACTTCTTTTTAGCTAGTAAACCACTAGTTTCTAGTTAAAATATTTTCGTGACCGGTGAGACGGCGAGTTAATTGACGAGTCAAAGAGATTTTCAGTTGATTAAAAGTAAAAGTTGGAGACGTAATCACAATATCACATTATTAGTTTGAGAAAGAAAAGAGCCCCAACTATTAGAAACACCATTATTGCAGATTTGCAGACCTGAACTTGATTTTTAATTGTTGGTTGATCGATTTATTTGTAATTTTGTACTGGCTTATGTATCCAGTTGTTAATTGATCTCAATCCCAATATAAAAATTGTCCAACTTAATGGAGTTACCCTAGACAAGTGTCTAGGGCCTCTAATTTATAAAATAAGCTTATTAATATTATTTAGGAGATTTTGTCCGCTCGTCAACATTTGGGATAGTTTCCTTTGTAATTTTTTGATGATTTTTTTTAGAATCTTATTCATTATGCCTAGTTTACTCAGACCAAATTTCACCTAAAAATTCAATCGGGAAGATATTCAAATGAATTCTTGGAGATAACTACGCAGTTAAAAGCGCAGTTATCTTCAAAAATTTATTTGAATGTCTTCCATGTTGAATTGTTAGTTGAAATTTGGTATAAGTAAACAAGACTTAATGAATAAGATTCTCAAAAAAATGCATCAAAAAATTCCACCGGGAACTGCCACAAATGACGACGGCGGGACAAAGTCTCTTATACAAGGGCTTATTTGACCTTTTTGGTTAGTATGTGGGCTTATTTGCTCCTTTTTCCTTTTTTTCTTTGTTGGCTAGGGCAGTAGGGCTAGGGATTTAGGATAATGAGTATTCTAAATATATTTGAATGCTTATTGAATAATTGAAATTGTAATTTGTTATTTTGATTCATCGAAATATTGAACATACTTATAATTTTTTATATTTGATTAAATTTAGTGAATTAAATTTATATCTATGAACCATTAACTTATATTTAGTGATAGTATTATTTTGAATGAAATTTTATGTTTTGTGATGATTGGAAAACAAAATATGAATCAAGATGTACAAAGACAAAGAAAAAAATTAAGAAAGGATTTGGTCATGAAATCACTTTCCGGCTCTATCGATCGGTATGTTGTATGTAAGCACAAAACCTTCTCCCTCTAGGGCTCTTTGTGTTTTTTCATCAACTTTGATCTTCTGATTTCGAAGAATATTCTCACTGTGTTAATAGTATATGATGTATTTCATATGTAATTTACTTATATTTAATTGCTATTTTTTATATCATTGGGTTAAATAAAACATATTTAAAACAAAATTTCTACATGATCGTCTCGGGCCTCATAATTGCTCTAGCCGGCCCTGTTTACCCCAGTGCCGCAAAGGCTCCCACCTACGGTGGGGTAAGGGGGGGTCGAATGTACGCAGTCTTACCCCTGCACTAAAGCACAGAGAGACTGTTTCAGGATAACCCATAGTGAAAATCGCGTCCAAAATTGCATGGACTGACTGTTGCTCCATAACAAAGAAGCGTCAGACAGTTTAGTGATCCATTTTTCTTTATTCCATCATAATCTCAAGCCAAAAAATAATGAATTTTTGGCTCCATTGCAAATGATGGAAAAATTGTCCAACTTAACAAATGAAGTAAATTAAAGTTGTGATTATCACGTGTGATCTCAAGGGATTAATGTGAAACTTCCACAATAACACAAGGATCAAAGGGGAACACACTTATTCAAAACAATAATCAAATGATGTTCTAATAGTGTGTGAATCAAACAACATATATGTAATTGTTTAAGTTTCACTCTAATGTCGAGTATTCACATGACCGAGACCATATATCACCACTTACTTTTCAATCTAAAATAACCAAACCATAGGAGGAAATGCTAGCTTTTGGGTATAAACTACCCGTCCTATAATGTTCAATTCTTCTCAATAAAGTAATCCACTGGAGTCTTCTCTAGTGGCTTATATTTACAATCTTGACTGAGCAAGTTCTTCATCATCTCAGGCATATGTGATGGTGATTGTCCCACAAGGCCACAGAGGGCTTGGTTGAGAAGAACTAAAGAGGGAAATATTCATGCACTTTATGAAAAAATGTTGGGAATAAATTCTCGGAAAAATTCTAAAGGTACACACTTTTGGTGTACACACTTTTTACACATGTCTGTGTAAGGTTTTTTTTACACATTTTTAAAAATACGTTATGTCTGTACAGACATAAAAAAAACCTTACACAGACATGTGTAAAAAGTGTGTACACCAAAAAATGTGTACCCCAAGTCCAACTCAAATTCTCGCTGCTTCACTTTTAGCCTGTTAGGGATGAAGCCATGCTCAGCAAAAGTAATGCATCATGAAATTTGGGATTGACTTCTATGCTTTTCTCGAAAACGTGCATAGTGCATTAATGCATACCTGTCACGCCCCGGACCTACCCGGACACGTCAACAACCCGCCGTACAGTACGAATAGTCAACCGCAGTCCGACTCATCCATACTATACAAGGCGTCTTGAATACCATTCACACATAGTACATCCATAAACAAACATAATGTAAAACATTTATTAAAACAGCGGAAACAATAGATACAAGTGTTCAAGCCACACTTGGCATAATTAGGCATGCAAGCCCCCAAAATAATTATTCAGAAAATATTATCCATGAGCATTATTCATATTGTTTTTTTCAAAAACAAGAACGGGAGAAGCACGAACCAAGTCTTCTCCTCAGAAACTTTCCGAAGCAGCGGCTGGTGGTAGCAACCTTCAAGTTCTACCTGAAACTGTGAGGTGGCCTCCCTCGTGAAGGGGAGGTCAGTACTTTGAAGCATTTGACAAGTACAATGACAACTATACTAAGTATAATCAAAGTTTAAATCTCTGAGGCCCTCAACTAGGGCATTATTACATTATAGTTAATCCGTTCATTTAATATCAATTCATCATTATTTGTCACGGTCTAGAGCCCAGCTCATAATCACCGTTATCTACTACGGTCTAGAGCCCAGCTCATAATCACCGTCATCTACTACGGTCTAGAGCCCAGCTCATAATCACCGTCATCTACTACGGTCTAGAGCCCAGCTCATAATCACCGTCATCTACTACGGTCTAGAGCCCAACTCATAATCACTGTCATCTACTACGGTCTAGAGCCCAGCTCATAATCACCGTCATCTACATCGGTCTTGAGCCCGGCTCATAATCACCGATTCCTTATAATTCAAATTCTTAGGATCTAATTCATCCATTTCTCAACTAACATTTCCAACTAATATTTCAATGCTAGTTATTTATTTATTTCAATAAAATTCCTTCTTCTTGCATAATTGGCCTTAATATCAAATATCACTTTCATACCTTCATGGCTTCTCCTCATGGCATCAAGGTATACTATCCCAAATGATATTCATGGTTGGTACAACCATCATACACACATATTCATAACATCTAAACATACACAATTTATTCATAAATTTGTGTATCATGCATACTATACTTTTAATCAATAGTAGTTCCATTTATACATTATTAACCATCAACAATTCATGCACATCACATTTATATTCACTTAGGAAATCCCATGAAATTAACCCAAAGATTATAAGTATCATAGTCGGTCATCCTCACCTTAATTAAGCTTAAGCGCGTTCTACGTTTCTTGATTGAACTTTGACCAACTCCGGCGACTTTGACCAACTCCGGCGAACTTTGACCAACTCCGACGAAACTCCGGCGAGGCTCAAAAATACTTTAAATCAAGTTCCTAACAAGGTTTTATCATCACAAAACACATATCAACACAAATAACCTATAAAAGGTTATTTTCCGGCAAACCGGTCGATTTGGCTTCTAAGTCCGTTTTTGGACTTAGAATCACTTTCCAACCCATCATTCCACACTTAAATCATGTAGAACAATACTAAAAGTCTTTTATATTATATATACCTTATATGATAGAAGAAAAACAAAGGAAAAGTTATGATAAGGTCATTACCTTAATTTTCACACCCTTTTCCTAGCTTTTTCGTTCTTAAACTTTCTTCTTGGACTCCCTTTAGCTTGAGTTCGGATTTGGGCTATGGAGATGAAGTTTGCAGAGCTCTTCTCTCCTTCTTGGTGTATTTGGGTCGAAAATGATGAGGGTAAGGAGGTAGGGGTGGTTCCTTCTTGTCTCATCTAGACAATGAGTGAAGGGAGGGGGCCTACTACATGTCAAAAGTGTCTCCCCCATCCTCTCAATTGTTGTTCAGCCAATTTGGCACTCATCCAGCCCTCAAGGGTTGACAATTTCGTGGGGTGGCCCCCACCCATGTGGGAGGTCATCCCAATTTGTCCCAACGTGTGCAATTTGCCCCGAAAGTTGTATTTTTCGGACTGTTTTAAGTATATTTTATTTTATCGGGTCAAATAAAATATAACACTTGTTCCCAATTCTTAATGGACCTTAGAATCAATATGCATCCCTCACTTTAATTTAGAAGTCTCCGAAATCCCTTTTCGGGCTGTTATCTGATAGGTTGCCGATACTGATAATTTGGCTCCGTTTGACCAACCGGTCAACCCTATGCCATTGTCATGGCCCAATTAGGGTATCCACCACCATATACATATTATCTAGTCCAAGATCAATATAATATGTGGCCCCGATAATATCGGGCGGTCCCCACTCCCGATGTGGGCCCCACGTGCATTTTACTATTCACGCGAAAAATTAATACAAATTCACAACTTCGTAAGTTCACTAAATATTTCATAGGTTTCAATAAATTATTATCTTAAAGATAAATACATTTGGGGACGGTGTTACAAGTTCACCCCCCCTTATTTGGGATTTCGTCCCCGAAATCCACGTGTCTAATCGAAAAGGAAAGGGTA